TCAACTGAACGGACATAAAATACATTCAAGACTGAACAGAGAAGCAAGAAAGCTGTGAAGAAAAAGACAACATGTTTAAGTTGATACAGAAGTGTGACACAGAAAGTACTGTACATTTTAGAACTTCAAAGCCACTACCAGTTGCAGGCCTGAACTTGACAGCAAGTTCCTATGAGAAGGCTAGAGTTACCCAACTCTAAGGCTATCCAGGTTCTCCACGGTTTGTCTTGGTACAGCCTTAAGCTCACTTGTCAGATTCACTCACTTTTGTGACCTAAGAGTTCACAAGGCAGGTCTTCTCAATCTGGTAATTCTTAAGGATGAATCACTTACAGACATCTGTAAAAAGACCCCTAGAACAGCGTCAGTGGCATGCAGTACCAGACACTGAACCAAGACTACCACCCACTATTAAGGTGTGCCGTCATGCAAGCAAGTTTAAGGAGCTATCCTTGGCAAATATTAACCTGCCACTTTAACTGCCTTGTAAAGCCTAGTAGGCATTAACAATACTGCAACTCACTTGAGCAAGAGAACACAGAGCTTTGCAGAAACATGAGGTGTCTGTTTCTTAAACAGTCATTGTAACAAACATAGAATAAAACATTTTAATGGGCTACAGTTAATCATCTATAAAAAGTGTATGTTCAGCATGAGTTTAAATTGTAAACTGGTGATAAATAATACAGTATCTCTGAGCACATTTTAAAATGTACATTATGAAATAAAATTTAATTTTCAGAAAAGCTTTCAATCTTTTTGTTCAAAAACACATTTAACCAATCCTTTATAAACAACTCCAGCCAGTTTGCCTGCCTGAAAATTTTGATTTATGAAGCCCTCCTGCCTACTGCAGAATACTTATTTGTATTAATTTTCTTCCCTTTTTTTTCCTTAAGGCAGATTAAGTAACAGCTGAATACACAAAAACTGTTAATGTAGCAACTACCTTAAAATATAATTTTTTGTAATGGTTGTAATTTGTTTTCATTCCAGTTTATTTAGTAATCATATAAATATCCAAATATCCACTAAAATAAGCTACTGTGAAGAGTGCAAATACCACTGTCAGAGCAGTAGCTGGACCTACATTTAAAATGCACATATTTCTTTCTGGATAAGAAAAGGTAGGTTCCCTCTGGTCACAGAAAAGGTCTCCATGCGCCTCCCTGTTAATTAGTCATTGCAATCTGTCCATTAACATGAACTTGGCTAAATGTTATGTTCAATGGGAATTAGAAGTAGCACACTGCACCATTTCTCCAAGGCTGTTAATTTTGAATTATACTATTGAGAGCAATGTGGCGCAGCTATCTTGGCATACCAGCATTTCGAGAAATACAGCCTTATAGATAGTAATAAGATAGCTGAGTGGAGCAGAAAAGCCCTTTCTGTAACACACCCTTTGTGCACAGACATCCTCCCAGCTGATCTCATGAGCTCCCTATGCAGAAGGTATGAGAGCACGTTGAGTTTCCTCTCTTCTCACATCCTGCGTAGTGACAGGTGAGAGGAATGGCGTCTGTCAACTACCGTTCACAATGGCCTCAGTGACCCTCTTGGCAGATAATGTGGAAGATGCAAATTCTCAGTGTCACATTCCTTTGTACTGCCCATGCCCTGCGGCCAGGATCTGGCCTCTAGACATTCCGGGAAGAGCTGTGAAACAAGGTGATTCACTCAGTCTGTCCCGGAACAGCCTTTCCCAGTGGGAACAGCGTGTGAGTGTTGGGGGGGGGACCTCAAGAAATCCAACTGCTTTCAGCTGGAGTTTATAAAAAGGACAGTGTCTTTATTTTACTACCAATAGTAGGAAATGTCACCTGATGAATAGGAATCTCCTTTCAAATGCCTATTCCTATGTATCGTCATTAAAAAAGCTTCATAAGGTCATACTCTATATTAATCCATTCCAGAAGGCATATATAGCACAAGTAGGAAAACACATTTATACGAACAATTTGTTAAAGACTATATCAAAACATTAAAGATGCTGATGTTTGAATACATTCCTAATCTTTCATAAACTGGAGGATTTCAGTGCTTTAGAAAACTAGGAATATTGCAGAGAGGAAGACAAAAAAGATAGGTGTCAAAAAGAAGTTGGAAAGAGAGCACCATGTGAAAATCATACTTAACTTTTTATGTCCATTTAACAAGCTAATTAAATGTTTCACAATGTTATATTGAAGTCTAAGTAAGCTACCGAGGATAAAATCCTGGCCCATCTGAAGTCAATGGTAAGAGGATTCTACCTGCAATTCTCACTATCTTTGAGAAGATACTAAAACAAAAGGTATACATTGAGGCTTCAGTGAAAGGCTTCAACCAAAAAAGAAGAGGAAGAAAAGAACAGGTTCCTTGTTGTTTTTAAAGTACATGCCATGTAAACTCATCTACATGGCAATCTCTCTGGTCTATCAAACATTGAATGCAATACTGTAAGTAATTTTTAGCTTTATTTTTATTCATTTATCATTTAGCAAGACTTCTGTACCTGTAAATCACCTTTAAAATTGTATCATTACCTTGTACACTGTTGCTTTATGAAAGTGCAAATCCAAAATTTTAGCAAACAGTGCTGTATTTTTTTCATGTCACAGGTACAAAAGGATATAAAAATAGCTCCTTGATTGACATATGATAATACCCTTAAGCCACAATGAAAACAAATATAATACAGTATTATAGCACAGGTATTCCTTTTATTACAGGAATAGTATCTGTGCGATACACTCATCCGATCAAGAATTTCAAAATCACATCCTTAAAGTATGCAATGCATTTTCAATGAATCAATAGCTATGGTCTTCACTGAGCTGCCCTGACAGTAAAAAAAGAGACACAGAACTTAATCTAATCTCAGTCACTAATATTTCATCATACTCTTCTGCTTGCTAACTGAGAAATATTTCTAAAAACTGCCATGATGTTCCTCATGGATCAAAAATCAAGTGAAGTTTATAAAACAGTACTCCAAGTAAACTTTGGACAAATACAACTGCTAGTCTGAACATGTGTAACACAACTATTTTGTGATTCAGTGTTGTAAATGTAGTTTATATTTTAAACTTTTAATAATTTTAGCTGCATATAAAACAGAGAAGTAATAAGTTAAATTATAGCACCTTGTGTGAAATTTGTTCTAAAAAATACAAAGATTACACCTTTTAAAATTGTAAGAAATACAGCTATTCTATCTCAAGTCCACTATGCACCTGTCATTTAAAAGGAAATTTTAATTTACATGTAATGAAGACATGAATAAATATCACAAATTTAAGGCACAAAGTGACAGTTAGGGATGTAGTAAATCCTTGCTTTTTCATCAAATTACCTGAAACACCAGAAAAAGGTATATCTACAATTTTCAAAAAAGCTGTATTATCATAGAATCATTGAAGCTAAAAATGGAAACTGCCTATTCAAGTATATAGTTCAAACTCTTGCCAAAGGAAGATTGTTTTCCACTATTGCATTGCAACCAACTTAAAACCTTCCAAGAACTTGTATGCATTGACAAGCGCTACTGTGTCATTCCGTAACTTAACTGATCTCATTGGTAGGATCTTTCTCCTGATACTCATTGCATATTTACCTTGTTTCAAATTTATATGATCACACTTTCATACTTAGAAAGCCTCTTCCTTTACATATATTTGTCACATAACAAAAAATTATACATACTTAACGACTCAATCTTTCCGACTTCTTTCTCACTTCAACTAATTTTGTTACTGTTCTCTGACTTTTCAGAAGATTGAATCAATTCCTCACCCGAGGTACCCAAAATATAAGACCGTACTCCAGAAATTACCTCAGCAATCACAAGGAGTATTCTGATGCCTGATGCAGCTCTTCTGCATATATACTCTTCTTTTGATATTAGTGATGCCAGAAGCAACTTTGTTGCCTACATTATGAAGGCTTCTCACTACATCATTACATTTCAATCTTCTCTCTCTCTCTCACTAAGTATCCAAGTTTCCTCAAATGCATTACTTTTTCTCTGCATTTTTTAGGCTGCATCTAATTCTTGTCTACATTTAATCCATCTGTTCGACCTCCCCTACTCAGGTATCATATAGTGCAATATCATCTGTAACTTTTATTAATATACTGTAGATCCCTCTTGCAGATTATTGAAGACATTAAATAGAATTAGGTCAACACAGTATAAACAATTAATGAGGAGGGAGCAATTAAAATTGCAGAATAGGATGATTCAAAGCACAATTTATATTTTAAGACGCTATTTCAAATATATTTTATCCCACTTAGCTATTTATAAGAAGTTAAATATCCCACTATAGCTACAGTTTCTAAATGCAATACCATAATTTTTCTGCATACATAATTAAACGTAGAATAGGAAACATGCTGACAACCAGTCTTCCTCTGCAAATGAGTCCCATTCCAGCCACTGATAAGAGAAAGGTAGGCACATCAAGTCTACTCCTCAGCACAAACTTTTAACCAGTTAATATTTTATCTATTATTCTACGTAGCTTTAAAATTACAAATGAAAATACAGAGAGATTTAAATTTGCACTGACAATCAAGAATTCAGCTCCTTTCAAAAGTCCTTCTGGAATTCTACAGTGTGATCCTGTAATTCAAAGAATGTTGAACAACATGCTAACAGTACTTGTAACTGGAAAGATATTAATATAAAGCTTAAATAACATTTAAGCCTCCTAGTCTATGAAAAACACCATTACCTAATTTATGCTCTGTTTTCCAGAAGACTCACTTTCAGTACAACTTATCAACTCTTCTTCTGTTCTTGATGATGACTACAGGTCATAACAGAACTTTCAGAATAGAAAGCACAGTAGCCAACTATTCCAATTCTTAAAGCTATTTGTCAGCCTATTGAAAATAAGAAAATAATTTGTCTGAAGAAATGAACAATTAAAAATCAAAGTGAAAGTAAGGATGAAAAGGTAAGTCTGAAGATAATACATTAATTGCAAAAATAATACAGTCCATGCTATTTTATGCACAGTTGTTTATTCTTGTTCCATGTTTTAAAACTTGGACTCAGAAAAATCACAGGAAGTTTTGTGGTTTTACCCTCTTTTTTTCCGTTAAAAGCACCATAGCTACACGGCTTGATTCAATCGTCCTTTTCCACAATCACTTCTCCATGAAGCACCCTTCTTCTCTGCCGCAGCATGTGGAAGTAGAGTTGTGGAAATACTTGATCAAAGCATAGAAGAAAGCAAATTAGATGAAAAAATTCAACAGATCACATAACGGAAAAATACAATTTTGCAGAATGATGAACTGAGGAAAAATTATGGCACACAGTGCTGCAGTTGGTTAAGGTAAATAATAGCAAGTCACAAGCATTGCAGTGAATTACAAAACAATAATTACTCAAAAGTCAGACGAGGCCCCCTGAATGTATACCCTGTGTTCAGGGAACTTCCCTCCAACACTTTCTTTGTATAAACAGGACTTAACCACTTTCCAGCAGTGCCTGAAGTCTTCAAATTTGTGCTAAGGTAAGCATGTTTGAACTACGACTTTGAGGAAGATAAAAATTTACTCTACTTGTTCAAGTCTGAAATGAGGAGCTCCCTCTCTCCTGGCCCTCTGAGATCTATTATATTACTGTCCTGCTGATACATTTGATCCTTACATTTAATGGATAGAAAATCAGATTTATTCCTGAAGCATTAAGTTATATAAACAATTGTAAAACTGTTAGTAAGTTATGATAGCTTAGGATGTTTTGTACTCATGTAAGCATCTCTTGTTGGCCTTCATGATTTCTTGTGACAAAAAATTTCACCGTGTGTGTGCATACTGTGAAACTCCATGTTTAAGGTCAACTTCTTAAAGGAATACCTTTTATGGATGCAGATCACAGACCCTTTTAACTTCAATTTTCTTGCCTCTCAATGCCTCTCCCTAATCTCTTGCCTTGTTTCTAGCCTCATTGTCCAGACTATCTAAAATGTTCTACTTGCCTAGTTTGGTCTAGCCCCATTCATGGTGCTATATCTGAATCAGGTTGCTTTTTCCTTGTCTGCTTACGTACCAGTGGAAATAACACTGGAAGTGCAAGACAGTCTCTCATCTTAGCTCTGGTTAGCCAATTGATCTGTGGCTTCTGGTATCCAGAAGTACACGGACAATCTGATTAAACCAGGGACTGAAGTATGTTGAGAGGTTTGGGGGATGGATTTCTGTGAAAATGAAATTGCAGAATATTGCTTCAAGTTTTTCCTGAGCATGCTCAAATGGTGATTTTCAGAGATGACACGTAAACGGATATTAATAGCAATAAAAACAAGGCAAATCTCTGGCACAACTTGCAGGACAATTTTTAAGCCATTGCTTCAAAGTGGCAGAGGCACTAGAAATTCTGTGACATAGCTACAGACATTTCTGTGTGTAAGCAAAAAGGTTTTTTACTTTGTCCAAGTCTTAGAAATGTTTTTAGCATTTTCACTGAAATTTTTGAGACGGCTTATGTTCTGAGGCAGATAACAGGATGGAAAATTTCAGTCTAACCAATTAAAGTACAGCAAAGCTTGGAACAACAGAAAGCAGGCTTTTATAGTAGAAAGTGTACAACGAGTTTAACTGCAAGCAGTGTTTCCAGCATTGTTGATGATTGATTATTATGCTGTTAGCGTTACTACAGTTAAGTAATACTTACATGGCACATAGGAGAACATGACAATAATAAGGAAATAATAGTAGTCAAAGGAGACATTATATTTGTTGGGAAGTCTCAGTGAAAACATTCCTGTTTTCTTCACATAGGGTAAAGCAGCATATATGGTTAGCAGTTCACCTGCAACTCCAGCAGGATACAAAATGATAAAAAAGTTGTATCTGCATTAAAAAAAAAAACCCTTGTGAGAAACACCCCATGAATTTAAAATTTCCTCTTGCTATTATTAGTGGCACAGCAATGTATTACAGTAGTTTCTGCACCAAAATCAAGGACCACATCCTGACTTGGCACAGAATACCAGTTTCAGTTACTTTGGACAGCATTGCTTAGGTTTACAGAGAATGCATTCTTCAGTCCTTTTATTTAAAAACAGTGAAGTATCAGAACGTTTGTATGTCTTTCTAACACTAAAAGGTAAAAAAATCCGCAAATTTGTAGTCTCCAATAATGTCTTTTTTTTAAATTTACTGATCTTGCTCCTGTGGTCACCGACAGGATTCAGACCAGGACTGGATCCCAAATTCAGATGTTCCTACATATCTTTGTCACAGTGCACGCACACTGGGTCAACTCTATGTATTATAATTTCTTTGAAGATAATGAAAACGTTGAGAAACATCAGAAGCCTGTTTTACCCACTGCCACATGGGAAATCCAAATAACACTACATTTACCACTAATGGAAATGGAAATAAAAGAAAATGAAAGTGCCAGAAACTTATCAGATCCATTTTAAAATGGGAAGATGATGTTCAAATAAAAGTGAAGGCATTCCGTTTAAAGAAAATGTCATTTGAATGCCATAGGCCACACAGGTGGTGACAAAATGAAAAACGTAATTAGTCGGGTTTGTGCTGTCCTTATGTGTAGTGCACCATGGAGATACAGTTTCTCCTAAGGAACAGCTATCGAGTTCATTCAGTGAACAGCAATGCGAGCTGTCGCACAGAGAGAAGGGTACAGTGGGCACTCCATGACCAAAAGTGATGAGATCCAAAACAGCAGCAACCAAACATGAAACCCTCCTAGGAGAGAATGGGCTTAGAGGACTCACAGGTCAGAGAACAGATTAGGGGAGGTATAAGAAGGAACTGATGCCATGACCTACACACAGCTTGTCTATATGCAGTGAAAAAAACCAAAGTAAAAATTCTGAACTAAACTTTAGAGCGTACCTATTCCACTAACACTGGACAGGCAAATCTTTTACAATTATAAGCTAAAGATCAGAAATTTCCAGCTCCCTTGGAGTACTGAATTTATGCCCAGTTGTGCTGTTTGATTATCCATAAATCTTGATGGGATATTTTGGACTCTAAGAAAAGATAATACATTTTCAAATGTTTTGTTTATAGTATATTTCACCATATATCTCTGCTGTGAGAATGTCAGTTTTCCCTATTGTCTATTATAAGGAAACAAAAATTCTGTCATTCAAGATACACTGACTGGATGGCAAAAAGTGTACCTGTCAATGTGGTACTTTCTGAATGCATTTCTCTTTCTGAAGCCTACATAAAAAATTATTAATGAAACTAGACCTGGTTATTTTTTAAGTTTGCTATTTAGAGCTTAATCATAACCAATCCTACCACTTTAGGTATTAGCAAAAAGATAATGTATTATAACAACGGACATAAATATCAGACATATCAAAGAAGTGCATTAGAAGCATCAGAACTGCATTATCTATAAAACAAAAATAAAGGAAAATAAACAAACACACTCTTTTAAATAAGAGTCACCTGCGCTAAATGTAGGTAAGATATTTTCCTTCTAACAGTGTAAGTCTGTCTGTCTTACATGTATTTTTCAAATAATGACTACAGAGAATACTACTCTTCCAGTTAAGTCTCCTGATAAACATGCAGTCTCTGTAATACATCTGATTTAATGGCCCACCTTAAGTATGCTTCAAAATCAAAGCAGTTTTGATAAGGAACACACTTTTTATGTGGGCTAAACTAAGCAATATTTAGCTTCGCTACATGAATATAACCTTACAAAAGTTCTGATAAAGCAGAACTTCTCATAAAGTACTAATATGCATAAGATTGAGTGACAACAACTCCCACATTTTCAAAGACCTGAAATCCACAGGTGCTTAATTTTGGGCATTGTATTCAAAAGCATCTTAAGGAGTCATACTGTAAGTTAAAAGATGACTCCAAAGATAAAGAAAAAAAATTAAAGTAAATTAAAGCAGAGTTCAAACTGTGAGACACAGAAAGCAAAGAACAAATCACACCCCAAAATGTCAGCTAAAATATTTTTAACATTTTAAACCAAGTAACAACGATCCCAAGTACAGAAAGCAACTGACTTGCACTCTGCTGACACATAACCAAAGCTCAAACATCTGCTTTCCTGTGTGTTAGCTCAGCATGCGTGAAACTAACATGCACAGAACCATGAGAAACTGAAGTGCAAGACATCCCCACCTGGCCCATTTAATGAAGTATGGCAAATGGTTGAGCAGATTGAATGTGTAGAAGGAGTATCGAGTAATCTCTGTCACAGTCCATACGACCAGAAAAAGAATAACGCTCTCCTCATTCTGGATCTGCAGAAGTATAAAGAACCAACACTTTCTTCATCCTTAAGCTTCTTTTCTGTGCAAACTGCAACAGACTTCTGTTTAAGATATACGGAACAAAACTAACATCTTGTAAAGAAAGAAAATTTTGGCATAAAAGTGATATGCTGAAACCATTACCATGTACAGTTCTTTATCATATGTATTTACTAACATACAGACATTTTGCAAACTGAGCAATCTTTATCCATTATGCAAATACCAAAATATAAAACCCTATAATTGAGCTTATTCCTCCTCTTTATTCTCTATTTGCATTTTCACTATGCTATCTAACTGTCTCTCTCTTTTTATTTGTGGTTGATTTATTTGTTTATTTTCTTACTCCTCAAAACAGCAAGAAGAAAACAACACAGAAGATATGTTCCTTTCATACTCAGTTTTTACCCGTTCTGCATTTCTCTACTCTGTCTTCTAGACTTTCTCTTACTTTTTATCTTGCTTCTTCCTCACCATATAATGCATGTCTCCACGAAACTTTAGACAAAAGGAATTGCTTAGTATAATCTACTAACTGGAACTTAGTCACAGAAGAACAGATTTGGCAGACTTCAGGGAGCTGTAAGATATTTAAGGAGCTGAAACACAGATGATCACTAAATGAAGAGTAGTTGGTAGATCAGGAGCTTTGGGTAAACTCACTCAACAATCCTGTTTAAGATTTGAGTTCTGAGTCATTAAACTGCCTCATCGGTAGGTAGCACACCTATCTGCTGTTTCAAAACATCGGTTCTTTTTCACTCTGAGTGAACAAATAAACAGAAGTCCCCACATACAGAGAAGGCACATGGGGATCTATTACAAACACTACCTTCTGAGAAGAAGAATTACACGCAAGTAATTTTCTTTTCTTTAAAAGGGGAGGAATTTTGTAATACACTTCCATGCCTGAAGGCTGAAAAGCTCCAGGGATGTCTGTGAAATAGAATAAAGTAACACAAGTTTTGTTAAAATTACAAAAAAGGGAAATGATTTTTTTTAATAAAATGCAACACGGTGACAAAGCTTAATACATCTCAAAGATGCTGAAAATGCACAACTCTGCCAAAAGTCAAGAAAAATTACAAGTGCTCATCATTTCATAAAATATTGCCCTCAATGTGTCAGTCAAAGAAGGTGCACTTTTAGTGAAAGGATCTCACCAACATCACAAAAGGAGATGTAAAAATATCGCCAAACTCACAAACAAATAGCAACAACTGAAGTGCAAAGACATCCAAACAAATAAGCAAAGGGAAAGACAGAATTAGGCTGTTCTTAGCCTCATGCGATTAGAGACAAACATTGATAACCCAAACTTGGATTCATGTCACAGTGCTAAATCCAAGCAGAAGAGCTTTAAATAAGTATGCAGAGAATTCCTATCTGTTGCCTTGCAAATCTCCAGTCAAGTAGAGAGACCTGGGTCTGGCTATTATCACTAACATGCCTCTCACCACCTAAAGTGACCTGAACATTCATGCCTGCTAAACAGTAATAACGTGAAATACAATCAGACATACATTCAGATGTATTTTTTCTTGGACACAGCTTGACCTACTGTACTGAAGATGGAGGAAACAAAAGAAATTACTGGATATGCTAAAGATTTAATCCACTGCAATTAATAACAAAATGGCAAAATGCAGTGCTTTATTCCAGCATTCGTGTAAACATTCAATATGAAAATCTCGTTAATCTTTGAGACATTTTCCCTTTAGGGAAAAATTAAAACACTTAGCTTACCCCCCCTCCCCCCCCCCAAAAAAAAAAAAGCTATGAAAACCCTATTCCATGTTAAGAAAAGCAACAGCAAAGGAAAAGATGAAGTGTAGAAAACAAGCCCTCTGTGAACTGAAACAGAGTGATTTGACAACTGAGGCAGGTGCTATGGTATCCCATCAGCAGAAAAGCATATGCCATCTGCTGGTGAGACAGTTTAATGGCTCAGCTTTTTAAGTTTAAAGAAATTCAGGAGCACAGACTCAAAATCTATCCTTTAATTCTTACATACCCTTCACAGAAAGCAGACCTCAGAAACTGAACTGAATGTCCTATCTACTAGCTGTAAGCAGTCTGCTTGTTTCATTCTGCTAACGAATCACTAGATTTACAATAACCACCTACAGCCAGGCAAATAAACCATCGTCATTTATACAGGACCTTAAGCATCACTGTGGCATGCTGGATGACTTGATATATTTTTAATGAAAACAATGCAGTATGCATGCCATCAAACGTTAATATTACCACAACATTAAAATCTTGAAAAGATTGCAAAATCACAACCATGTTTATCCAGGTAAATTCAATTTAAGACATATTTTCATTTAGATTAATTCAGTAAGTGCTAATTTAAGTCTTTGAAAGGGAACCAGTAACACTGTGGTAGATTTGCTGGTAAATAATAGCAGTAGTCATTGATCTCACTTAGGCAGACCACAGCCGGCACGACACCGAAGAGAGTGCTGATTCACAGCTAAGACCCAGACCCAGTCTCCTGGGTAGAAGCACATAAATTCCATCCTGTAACTCCAACTTCCAAAATCGCACTCAAGTATGTAAGTATTCTCTATGGGAATGTCATTGATTTTTAAATTGGTCTTCCTGGTGAAATGAGAACTGTATTAATAGCTTCTCCTTAAAAACAATCAAAACACGATTTGCTCACGCCCATACCTGTTTTATACTATGTGCAATGAACCACACCATGAAGATTCTTGAACTCACTTGGACCCCAGTCACAAGCACAGATGTGCGAACTATTCCTTAAAAAGAGAAACATGTTATCTCTGTTCCACAATTCATGTTTTAATTAGTTACAGGAGAAACTAAAACAAAGAACTCACCAACTGCACAGTGGACTACCTGTAAATAAAAATAAGTTAGAGGTTACTGATGTACAGTATGTTACTATCTACACTATAAACATGGCCTTTTGATATTAATCTAAACCTAGGCTTAATTCTGAAGGAGAACTGTTTTTTTGTCTCCAACTAACAGTCTTTAAAAGAAATAAACGTTAGAGCCCTGGCAACTAATGCTGTGATGGGCTCAGTACCTGATCTGTGCAAATACATGAAAGAGATTTCTCTTCCTAATTAATTGTATATATTACATATTCAGATACTTACAAAGCATTTATTTTTTCAACTAGTAAGCTTCCGTTCCATTATGTTATTCAAAGAAGAATTTTACAGGATAGTGTGGAGGGAGTCATATAAGGGATTCTAAATGCATAGCAATTTTAAAATGTTCTGTATTCATTACGGATTGATAACATTATTATAATTTTGTCAATGATAGCTACGAAGCTTCAGATTTATTGTATTTTCTGGTCCTTAATGTTTAGCAAATAGAGTGCTTTTCATTATTTTGACAGATTTGAGTAGAATTACTTCTTGTGAAAGTTTAATAGCATAAAAGCCTAGATACAGCTGACCACATGATTTTAATAGTTGCTTGAACTACAGATGTTGTAGGCAGATCGAGAAAAGAAGTTAAAATGTAGATAGGCACTCTCTGTTGTGCCTAGGAAAGAACTGTAAGTGCTCAACACACCCAACACTTTCATTCCATATATGTATCATAAACTGAGACCACTAGTGCATAGTTGGCAGAAGTCATATTATTTAAAGAATACTTTGCACAACTTGCACAGACCCTGTTGTAACGGATTATGTGGGGCATGTGAATCCAGTCTGGGAATAAGCAGGAGGAAAGGCACAGAAGGATAATGAGTCCAGTATAAGGAATAAGAGGGAAGCTATCATCTCTGGAGATGAAGACGAGAGATCTACTAAGCTAGAGGGTTGATCTGCTAGCTGGAATGCCTTCAGAGATTTTGCCTTTTGAGTTAAAGACTCTCAAATAAAGCAGTTCCCAAGCAGTATTTGATTTAAAGAAATATTAGAATGAAGTTTGAAAAAATGTGTCCATTTGTTTCAACTAATCACCTGGCCCCCCAAAAAACCTTCATTAAATAATAAAAGTTAAAAGGACTTTAAGTACTAATATAATATTTTGATATTAAATTCAGGTTAATAATGTGTTTTGCCTATGATATGCAGCATCCAGTAAAGCAAACTAATGTTTAAAATTTACCTCAAGCAAAGCAAATGTCTGGAAAAATTTAAGCGTCTTTTGAACGCTTCTGAATAAGCCTCTATGTGTTCCTTTCTGTATATAAAACCGCACCATGGCAATACCTAATACCAGCCACCTACAAAAGAAAGAGAATGGATACATTTCAAATTAGAATTCTAAAAATATCCATCCACCATAAATAATTTAGTAGAATATTTTCTTCACAGAATATCTTTGCTTCTTCACTTGTCGGTGTTCTTAGGAGATTATTAAAAATATCTTTAGACATAAATGTTATGTAAACATTACACTCTTTTATCTCTTTACTTGGAAAAGGATAAAGAATGACTTGTTTACCTTCAGAGATTTGACTTGAATTGAGGGGACCCCCCAAAACCACGGGTCCATCAGACTTTTCACTAGCAGTGACTACATATTTTTACTATGAAATCGTCATGCACCTTTACTGTGAACTACTGTTATTTGAAAACACGCGATGAACTCGGCACTGAAGCCACTGTTTTGGGTCGTGGATTTTTATAAGTAAAGGACTGGAACCTACGGATATCATTTTTACATTTTTCATGGCCCCTCAACTCATAATTTTCAGAACTGACTAGTGATCTGAATGCTTCTGTTTGTGATTGTCCAGCTGAAGTTACCATTATGATTCAGTTTTCGAAAGTGTTGAGAAGTCGCTTTAAAAATCAGACTCTGAAGTGCCGAAAGATGGGTGCTCTAAGCTCCTGGCTTCCAAAGGCAGGTATATTTAACTAGCACATTTGATGGTATTGGCTAATTTTTTAGTATTTTTTTAAGGAGACTGAACAATGCTACAAACTGATAACCCTTCCAGTGTAAAAGAAACTAAGTAACAGTATCTTTTAATCAAACTGGAATTCGATATAAAACTTAAATTGAGATCTCAAATGGAAATTGAGACTAAAAAAAAAAAACTTCTAAACTGTGGTGGGTTGATACCCATCACCCAGCCCAGACCCAGTACAATAACCCAAGGCATGCGCAATTCCTTCCACATAATTAATCCATGTTTACATAATTAAGTTTTTCAAAATAGTGTACCATATGTTCCATGCTTAATGCAGAGCTATACCACATTCTTACAAACATCACACTAGCAAGATGCCTTGAAACTTCAGGTTTCAATTCACAAAGACTAAGAAAGTATAAAAATTCTTTAATATAGACTTACAGGCATAACCAGAGCTATGGATGGCTATTTTGAGAGTTAAAAATAAAAATACAAACATTACAATAACTTTAGCTTAACTTCTCTTCTGATGATACCCGGAAAAATTAGTCAGTCTTTTCATCATACATAAAGCCATAGCAAGAATGCTATACGGTGACATGAGCTCTGGCTAAGGAAGGGCCCAGGTGACAAAGCAGAGAGGTCTGAGAAATACTCAGAGGCAGATTTGGAGAGCATATAAACATTTGGAGAAATAGTTAGATAAACATTAGGATAAATATTTAACACCTCTCACTCTTCCTTAAGCATAAGGTACCGGCTAACATTGGAAACGGGGTACCAGGAAATACTGATCTTTGGTCAGACCTGTTATGCTGTAACAGCATGAGTCGCATGGATGGTGACAGCTCTCTGTTCACCTCAGATGGCACGTAGTTCAGTACCAGCCCCTTAACAACTCTTACACACAGTGCCTACTGCTACGCAGTCACTTGGCGTGGCCCATTCAGGCACTTCATGACAGCATTTCAAACCCACTTAGAGTTAGCCAGGCTTCCTCACACGGTAGGAATGATTCCCCCTCCTTGATCCCTTCTACTTTAAGCCCATGAATCTGATCTGCCAGTGCTCCAAAATTTGCCCCCACAAGTGTTACTTTGATTTTATAACGGATTTTAAATCTAAGTGCATTAATTTGAGGTTGTCTCCCACCGCTGCGGAAATGAGGAATTACTGGAATATCACTGGTAGTCCTTCACAGCAAAGCTGCCCTGTCTTATAGTAAAGCGTTTGACAAGAGGAAGGTGACAGTGACACCATCCAGCTGGCAGCATGAATGGTGACAGCAACAGCTCTGTCCTAGCCCTAGCCTGAGAAGTCATAATACGTCTAATCTAACAAGGCATTTTCTGCACCTCATTCTGTAACAAAAGGGTTGCAGAGAGAAGTAATCTTGGACTACACTCAGAAGCAAAGGCAGCAAATATTTTTCTTAAATAAATTTTTATTTGGACATAGATTTTTGTAGATCGATTTATTTAGTTGTCAGGGGCTTTGACGTTGGATCTCAGGAAAGCTCTTGTACTGAGTATTGCAAATCACCACGAAATGGAGAACACTTTCCATAATAAAGGTAGCATTTCCAGTTGGGACTTTCAGTAAGATTGGGTACTGATCTGTCAGTCCCTTAAACCTTTGTTAGAAAGAAAGATAAGTCGCAATTTTTTGTTAGAATGGCTGTTAACATGCAATTATGTATTAGTTTGTTAAAACTCTAGAAACGCTTTGCTATATTGCACTGTCTGGACAAATGGACAAATATACTGTTCTTGTAACTTATTTATCCTGTGTAGTGCCCTGTTAAGTATTGCTCTATTTCAAATGTTTATTTTTCTCTTAAGTTGTATCCGTAAAAGATTATAAGAATTTGTTGCTATCTCTTATTTCTCTGTTTCCACATAAAACATGCAATTTTGCATGTCTTAATCCCTTTTGATGTTAATGGAAGATAGGAGAGAAGGAAGTTGGAGATACTGAATCAGCAGCTAAGGTCAAAACTAATATGGTTCGATAATCTTCTACAGACATATAAAGGTCAGTGGCAAGAGTCAGTGTTCATTAGCAAATTCACACATGGAGCACGAGGCTGGGAATTCAGTAAGGTAACATTAAGCTGCCTGCTGGAAAAAAAATACATTGAGTAAAAGCACTTTTCAAAAGGTGCTGCTGCTGCAATATATGAACAGACTTCAATACACGTTCAAGATTCACGGACGCTAGTAAGAAGAAAGCCATTACGATCATATTCCTGGCTTTCTGCATCAGTGCTTGAACTCCTGCTTCAACTACAGCGTATCAGTTTTGCTCTACGGGATTCAAATGGCAAAGAGTTCACCCACTGGTAACCAAGGTAAAATTGTTCTCATGATGAATGTTAGCCTGGAAGTTATGAAATTATTCGTTCTTAGTTTTCTTTTAAGCATGTGGAAATTAATAGTTTGCGGATGTTTTTTTTTTCCCCAAGAGTTACTGAACAGGACAAATTTTCAAGAAGTGAAAATACGTGCTTCAAGCACTAACAACATAAACCTGAGTGCTCTTATGATCTGTGACTCAAAATAAATACGCACTTTCCTCAAAGCAAAGCATCGCAGTATGGAGCACTAGCTCAAACGAGGCCCTTGGGTCATTACAGCTCTTTCCCCCTCCACCCACCCCCTGCTCATCGCTACATGCCCGCTGGCGCTGAGGACCACGCTCGGCTTTGGAAACGTCTACCCGGCAGGAGCCGGTGCGGGCTCCAGAG